ACAGGAGTTCTATTATTCTATTTCATAGAAAGGAGGCCTAATTTAAATATTCTATCATGCATTCTACCTCTAGAAAGGGGGCACTAATAAATGCAATGTGGCATTTACACACATTAGACCTAAACTACAGATAATATCCTGCATTCTATCTCTGCTACAGTTGAAAGGGAGTATTGAATAAAAACGTCCTTACACTTAGGCCTACCTTAACGATTCTAACCTATTTAAAAAAGGGGGTATAATTTTAGTGTTATCATATTACAAACTACGTCAAAAGCCAATAATTCGATACAAACAAACCAGGCCTAAACCTGATAAAATGCAAAAGCACTAAGTAGGTTTTATTTTATTTTTTCCTCCAATGTTCAGAATGATATGGAACATGAGAATAATAATAATAAGGCAGATCAGACAACCATTCAGACTGGTTATTACAATTCACACTTCTCTGGCATTAAGTGCAATGGAGAACATACACTGTACATTGACACAGTTGCGTGTAATGTTTTATAGTAAGTTGTACGCGAATTGAGAAGAAGGAATTAACTCTTGTTGCAGTAGTTATCTACAACACTAAATATGTGTGTAGACCTCAAAGTCCTGTGTGTATTTGCTTCTTATATTGCTAAAACTAGAACAAATTTGTACGACAGAGAAAAAAAAAAAGTAAGCAAAACATGCTTCAAAGAAACGTATACCGACAATGAAGTAGAAAAAAAATATATACTCTTTGGATTGAACTAACAAATACTGCCACGACTCACCACTGCATTCTTAAATGTGAAATTAAAGTACCCTTTGTGAAACAACTGCGATAAAACCTCTTGACCTAAGGTTAATGACGTACTTTCAACAATGGTGATAGTCAGTAGCCACACTGCTAGTACACTACTCTGTGGAAAGACGTAAAACTTTTAAGGATGTCTGTTACCACGAAATTATATTTATTCAGTTACCCCTTTCTACTGTACCAGAGATAGAATATTTAAGTTAGGCCTAATGTCTGCTATCGTAAGATTATACTTATTCAGTGACCTCTTTCTACTGTGCCAGACATAGAATGCAGGATAGAATTTTTACACTAGGCCTAATGTCTGTTACTGTAAGATTGTATTTATTCAGTGCCCTTTCTACTGTACCAGAGATAGAATATTTAAATTAGGCCTAATGTCTGCTATCATAAGATTACACTTATTCAGTGACCTCTTTCTACTGTAC